GGAGGGAAAATGGCCGCGGATCCTGTTCGTCACCCGATCCGGTATTCGCGAACCGAGGCAAAATTTTGCAAACAGAGCTGTTCGTGACCCGAATTGGTCGTGAACAAAAGCGTTCGTGACCCGAGGTACCACTGTATATATCTGTCTCTATTATGACAATACAGCATTGATTTTTAATTGGCAAGAGAGCCAATTCAGAGCCTACTCTGTGCTAATCATCAGGGTAAAGCAAGCAAAATAGGGGTACAACCTCAATAGTAATTTTTATATCAGCATTATTATTTCTAAACCTTTATTTAATTCAAATAAAAGGGCAGAATACACCTTTACTGAGTAATCATTTTTAAAATGTGGAACCTGGCAAGGTTTTTTCAGGTCCCTTCCATGAAACAGTGTCATGTAGCAGGACCTAGAAAACCTGCCTTCTCTGTCACAGTGCCTATCCTTTGGAATGTCCCCAACCCTGTTGATTTTCTCTAAGGTCTGATTGTTCCCTTGGGGCACTGGCCCAGAGCACTGGATGAGCCCATTCTGAAATGACTTAATTGGAATAAATTATAGTTTAGCCTCCGTTATCCTTTATTGTGTTGTTTTGTATGCTTTGTTATTGGTTGTTCTGCTTTTAACCATATGTAGACTACCCAAAATTGCTATTTCAGTATGTATGTGTGTGTACGTATACATACATACATGCATGCATACATATGTATAGTGGCTGGACAAGTAGGGACAGTCCCTACAGTTATCTTGGCACAATTTCAGAGGTGGCTTGCCATTTCCTTCTTCCTACAGCTGAGAAAGAGTGACTGGTCCAAGGTCATCCAGCTGGCTTTGTGCATAAGACTAGAGTCTCCTGGTTTCTAGACTGGTGTAGCAATAAATCAATCAATACATATATACATACATCTTCTATTCCTTGAATTAGAATTTTTATTAGAGGTACTTTCTATTGTCTATGCCAGCATTTCTCAACCTTGGCAGCTTGGACTTCAACTCACGCATCTGGAGTTGGAGACTCCAACTTGGAGTTCACACATCTGAAAGCTGCCAAGGTTGAGAAACACTGGTGATTTAAGTAAGCAGAAAAATAAATGAATGTTATTTTTAAAGAAAATCTTACAACTACATTAAACAATTCAATAGTACTTACATTCATCATCATTCATATCAGTTTCCTCAATTAGTGTGCATTCTATTAATGAAAGGACGCCTCCAGCCTAGGGACATAAATTGCAATGTTTTCAGAAATCTATTTCACTGTTCTTCAGTTTAAAAGTATATAAAATTATATAACAGAAGCTACAATCCATGCACACATATCTAGGGTAAACCTCATTCAACATACTTCTAATTGGACAGGCTTTGTGTGTGTGTGAGAGAGAGTGTGAGATTGTGTGCCTTCAAGTCAGTCTCAACTCATGGCAACTGTCTGGAAAAGTTCCTGCAGTTTACTTGGCAACCTTTTCAGAAGAAGTTGGCCACTGCCTTCTTCCTATAGCTAAGAGAGGGTCACCCAGCTGGCTTCACACCTAAAGCTGGATTAGAACTCACCATCTTCCAGTTTCTAACCTGGGGCCTTTAACCACTACACCAAACTGGCTCTCTATACAAGTACAGGATTATGCTATACACGGTACAATGCATTATTCCAATAACTAGATGAGTTTCTTAATTAAGTACATTATTACTTCCAGCAAAGAATGGGGAAATGCATGCATATCCTTTTCCCAATTAAAATAATTCTGTGTTATCCCAGTTCAACTGAAAATAATTTTACTGGTAAGTTTAATAACATGAAGCATTCAACCATAGTATTCCAAGAGAACAGAAGAAATACTTTGACAAAATAAGCAATATATTTAAATACAGAATTACAACATATCTATTTTTTAGTATCTGAATACATTACTGTTCTAATCTAGATATCAATAGCAGTCTAATTCCAGAAATATTCTGCAATGAAAAGTGATACTACAAATTCTGTACTTATTTAAATATGACATAAAGTGATTGAAAAAAACTTGTCAGATCCAGAATAATGAAAATACAGAATGTAATATTAAAAGCTCTTTAAATATAAGAGAAGCAGAAAGGTGGTCAGAGAGATGGATAGGTTAAGCTTGTAAAGAGTACATTCAGGGAAGAAACATGATTTCAATACAAGGTGGAAATTTTGAAAGGTTCTCAATTCTGCTGGAGGGTATTTAGGTTAGGAAGGCAGAGACGTGGAAGTGTATGAGCCTTCTACTGTTTATGATACTGTAAAAAATATTTTAACTATTTTCTAAACTGTAAGTAGTCTTTTAAATGTTTATTTTAAAAACAATTAAAATAAGGGGTTTTTTGGGTCTTAAAATTATTTAGATAAAACAAACCATCATATATAAATACAAAAAGTCCCCTTGAACATGTTAATATTACATCTGGAAGCTCTGATTGCCTGGCAGTCAGTAGTGTAATCTTCTTATTGCACAGATTTACATTATTTTACTGCAATCAATCAGAACAGTCATATATTTTATTTTACTATATGTTCTACAATTCACTATTCTAGTCATAATTTTTGATACAAAAATATGTACCTTAAGTAGATGCAACTTTCCTCCAGAGCTCCTTGTACAAATTAAAAAGTGCTTTGTAAATAAAAAACATTGCCTTTCTCCTTCTTTTTTCAAGGATAATGATCCCAGGCGAACTTTACTAAGTTTTCCCCTCTCAACTGATGGGACTTGAATAAGAGTTCCTGGTAAGTAGAAAAGCAAATAATACTCTGTAAACATATACTGTAATACATGCAAGGAATTATTTATTTTCTATGGTTTACAATAAATTCAGTGTCATATCTGTAGCCAACTAAATGTCAGATTTAGATGACCATCTAAAAGTTATTTCCATAAAATATTTGGCTGCAATCATGAACTCAGTGGAAGTTATAGAATGTAACAATGTGCCAAATTGTAATATTTTCATTATACAGAACTGAATATGAAATCCAAAGTCCAGTAACAAGACTTACCTTGTCCTCTGCTAAGGTTGCCAACTTTCTCTTATAAAGAGCTCATTTACCAACCAATGGGAGGTCAAAAAGTGTTATGCAACCGTCTCTAAGAATTTTCAACCAACTAATACTGGCTGAGAATTCTGGAAGTTGCAACACCGATGCATTTGGAGAACAGCAGGTTAAAAGAGGGCTGACCAATTGGGACTAATTAATGCACACTTCTTTTGTATATTTCTGAAAGGTTTTTTATTCAAAAGTTTAACCAGCAATAGAAGCACAAGTGGAACAGAAGAAGGAAAAATCTGGATGTGCAAACAGAAGTCCACCAGTGTAATCTGGATTTCATTCTTCAGTATTTAAGTATATATATTAGGTTAGGATACAAAATGATGCTATAGTTGTCTGCACATTTATCAGTCCTTTCCCTTAATTCTGTATTACACTGTTTTTCTCTATTTTCAGTGTTTATTGGTGTACTACCATTTATTCTACTGCCTGGAAATAGTTGTATTTTGGTTTTGTAATTGTGTTATTTCATTTGTATTACTGTATTATATTAATTTTTAAACTGATATGAAATTTTATTTTTAAACATAAACTTAGAGTTAAACAAAATAAAGAAGGTCCAATGGATGAAGATGTATAAGCATTAATCCCAATTTATTGTCACAATGCCATAAAAAGGGTAATTTGGTTATGGGCAAAGATTGAGATTTACTCCATGTATTAAGTACATTTCATGATTAAGTGAAGATTAAAACTCATGTCTCCCCAGTCTAAGACCATATCTTCTACATCACTGTGTTCACAAGCTGAATCAAGGGTCTTCATGCATAACACAAAATGTGGTTTGCTTGGGTTTAGAGTTATACCCATTCATGGCTTATTATAACAGGTAAACAAGGCTATTATTGTGTGTTCAACAAACCAAGAATAAAAATCATAGTGTATGTTACATATGACTACAATCCATATCTTCAAAATATTCAATAGATGTTTATGTGAAAATAAATCTATATGAAATCACTGATATTTAAATATACCTGGAATGAAGTTGAGTTACATCCTTAACATATTTATTTATTGGAATGTAAATTCCACTGAAGTTTGTAGCCCTTTCATCCAAGGTTTACTTAGAATTGGAAATAGCATTCTTTTAAGTATAGAGCACTGAGACATGACTTCAAATAAACACAAACTTGAATTACAAATACTCTAGGAGTTTACTTTTTCTTAAGTGGCTGTGAGGATACAATATTGGTGATTTTTTTCTAGCAGCACCGAGTTCTAAAAACATGAATCAATATGAGTAATACAATACACTAAATGCAGTTTTGCTATACTATAGTTTATTATAGATTTTTAGACAGTCACATAAATCAAGCTCAGCCAAGATAATTCCAGTACATATCTTTGTGGGACCTATTTAAACAAGATGCTGGATCCTGACAAATACATTCATACGAAGCCAATTATGAAAGTGTTCTTAATATGGTTCCAACCCTGTAATGTAAAAATGTGTTCACACCAGTATCACTTCTTTCTATACAATAGGTCACTAATTTGCAAGATACAAGCTGAACTTTTAAAGAAGAGTCAGTGTCATAGTAAAATTCACAGAGGTCATGAGCCCTATTTAAATAAGATCCTCAGTGAAATTTGTTTCCAAGTAAAGATATTCTGATACTTTCCAAGTTATTGTGTGTGAGAGACATAGATAAGGAGAGGGAGAGGGAGAATAACAGAGAACACCACTGTGGTGTAAGAATTAAGGTGCTGGACTAGGAGTGAGGAGGCCCAGATTCTAGTCCTCCCTTAGCCACAGAAGGTACCTTGGTGACTTTGTGTCAATCATTTTCAGCCCTAGACTGAGAAGTCCAAAAAATCTATCTATGAACCCACACTGGATGAATGTGGTAGATTCTAGTCCATAACCTTCAATTAAGAAGTCTTCCTGCTGTGGATTGATTTGGGATCATCATCATCATCATCATCAAACAACAACATCTGCCTATCCCAGGTCCTTGGGAAGTACTTGATAGGTGCATAAAAATGTCAGATCTAATCTAAACATCTGGCTGACTGTGCGACCAACCATAATAATATATTGTCTGTTATGCATACTCACAAAAGAAAACAGTTATGCAGTGAATACATATTAATACACCAAAATATAATATGATTAATATACAGCATAAAGATTCATATATATAAGCATACTTCTATAAAGATTACCCAAGATTAGCGGTTTAACATTAATAAAATTCACTTGTCTTTTTGTACTCTATGTACAACAAAACCGTTTTTTTAGTTTTAAATATTTCAAGCATAATCCCCATGCATACATTAAAAAAAGATCAAGACATCATAAATAAACTTGTTTAATTCCATGTTGTCAGAAATATTTCCCAAAAACACAGTTGTCCAAAACTGAGTAAATATCCATCTGATAAGGATGCTTTGTAATAAAACCCTGGAATATTTTTTAAGTAACTCATATATATTAATGACAAACCCTAAAATACTCTGCCAAGGGTCAGCACATTTGTGCCATAGGAAAATCTTGATAATATGAGAACATGAAACCTGCAATATTGGCATTTAATTAGAATTGTTTTATTTATATTTGTTGTTCATCTGGTGGAACAACTTCCTTTTCCATTCTTCATAAGTGAAAGTCCTCATCATAAAAGGCATTGAGTATAAGTGAATGAATCCAAATATTAAAATACACCAACTGTTTTATACCAGTACCATGACTCAAACTTTTCTGATTATAGCTATTTCACTTTTAGACCATGGACAGAGAATACAAAAGAAAATACTGATTTGAAGAATATACTTTAATACCAACATTTAGAAGTTGTGTGGATGGAAACAGGATTATTTAAAATACTGGCACATCAGCATCAAATTTTAGATGTCTAAAATTCTTCCAGGCATTTACAGTATTCATAAAAAAGATCTGTTCTTTTCTTGTATTTATTTTGCTCCTTCTCTATGTAATTCCCTGGCAGAACATGTTAATCCAAATTCATTTTCTATACCACTGTTTGGAGAGTTGATTTCCACCACAATTATGTGGAATTTTGATATAAATTTTGGAACTCTGTGTTAGTTGCTTACAGAAATTCTCTCCGAAAACATCTTCCTTCCTTCCTTCCTTCCTTCCTTCCTTCCTTCCTTCCTTCCTTCCTTCCTTCCTTCCTTCCCTCCCTCCCTCCTTCCGTAAAATCTCCTATTTGAGTTGTTCTGCAGTGCATTTCCCACTGGGGAACTTAAACATATTCTCCATCTCCACTGCCAGCCTCACAATGAACTCCTTAGGAACTTGGAGACATTAAATCAACAGCTGTATCCAGTGTTGGAATCTGCTTTTCAAAGAAAAAATTCCATTAGAGATGGGCAAATGGCCCTGGGGTCTCTTAAAGCAAACCATTAGATTGTGGCAGGCATTCCATTCTATTTCATTCTATAAATTACACAGCAGAAAGCAAACTTACATTGCTTCAGCATTTTCCTATAGCACAAATACAATGTGCAATAAACATGTTACACTGACTGCTCCTACTCATGATTTCAGCCAGCCAGACATGTCTTCCTCCAGTATTTCTGTTCTATTCTCTGCTTAGAATTGCCTCTTGCTTCCTTGGGTGTTTCTTCCCATTTTGTTTATACTTCTGCAAATCCTGATATCACTTCTTAGTATGAATAATACTTGAGCTCCATAAGAAGGACAATTTGGAGAATTAAGTATACAACTGGCATATATCAGGGCAATTCACACACAGCAGCTATGTAAATAATGTTTTAGAACATATGGTGAGGTTCCACAAGGACTATAGAGAGCACTTCCAATTGTCAGAACTCAGGCATATCAGTAGGAATTTCAGACTTTGATTTTTAAAATCTGCCACTGTAAATGATTTTAATTTAAAAAGAAATCAAATGATATCATTGTGAGCTGTTCTGGAAGCACAAATGAAAAATGGGAACAACAAACAACTATTTTCATTCCTCACAATCTCTCCACCATTTGACAAAGCTTCAAGTACTTCAAGTTTCTCCTGTGCTTTTGCCCGAATGTTGGCATCATTTGGGATTGCAACATCTACCGGCCAGACAGAACTATTTTCCATGGTGCTGTAGATAATTTCTGGTCCACTGAAGATGATAGTCCGGTTATTGTGTATGTGACTTTCCCATGGATGCTTTATTATTATAGTGCTGCTGTTTTTCATGTCTCCTGGAAAAAAAACAGCACAGAGGTGGGGCTCAACACAGCCCAGAAATTACAAATATATAGATGTGTAGATGTCTAGAAGAGGTATTCTGCATCCTTATCTTTCCCAGTGATGCCAACATGAATTCTATTGTTTTCAATTTCATTTTTCCTTCATATTCTATAAATGCATAATCTATAAATGCATGTTAAATTAATTAGTCTTACCTTGCCGTATAAAGGTTTGGCTGGTGTCCAATAATATGTCACAACCTTCTACTATCATTCTTTCTATTGCAAGATTTTTCCGTATATTTTCTGTATCACTTACTTCATCGTGCATTATTCTATTGCAAATGAGAGGGGAAAAAATCAGTATCTAGTTATGAATTTGTAAACATATAAGCAAGAATAGTTTGGCTGAACTCTATGACCTTCATCATAAGACTTTCTCTGTGCATCATAACTGAGATTTGTGGGGTCAAAGTGGAATGCTATCCTTGGTGAAGTTTGTCTAACCATCTTGCCCATACCTACCCCTAGCACAATGAATAGTTATTGCCTCTTTTATTAGTAATTGCTGTTCCTGTGTTTCAAGCTATTTTACTTTGGAACTTCCCTCAACAAATTCACCCATCTGGGGAGCAATTTAAAACATATTTTTCATTTATTATGACAACTTGCGGGGGAGGAGATGTCTGTCACTAAACAGCCCCACTAAATTGTGGGCCTATAAGAATGGTTTTGGTCAGATATCTGTCCCATTGCTGGCTAATAATGGTTGACTAGAAGGTTGCAGTTCACCTGGGTAGTTGGAAATGCTTGTTTTTTAGACTCATATGCTCTCCAGAACATGCTATAAGCTGTGGGGAGATTTGGGGTTGGAGGTCCTTTGCAGGAGAGATGGATGGGCAGATCCCAGGTGTGATAGAGCAGAAAATGTATGAGAGGAGGCATTGGGAAGTGGGGCCAGCCAATCATCTCTTCTGAACCTTCAGCCTTGTCCCTGGGCCAAATTGCTAGTGATCTTGGTTTCAGACAACTGCTGATAAAAGCCAATTCTGTTTGTTTATTTATTTAGTGACTTATTGATTTATTTAAGAAAAGTATATCACCACCCTACTCGAAAAATTGCAACTCTGGATGGTATACAATCCACAAACAAGTAAATGATAAATTTAAAAAGGCAGTATAATTAAGAATTACAATGTAGAGTGTATACAGGATGGCTTTGACAGAGACTGGGAAGATCCGTTACCAAGACAACGAACAGATAAATGAGGCTTAAGCCCATACAAAGATAAAGATTTATGAAAACACCTAAAGTAGGTGCCCCCCCCCAATTCACATGAAGATAAAAGAGGGAGGAGGGGAAGCACATTCAGGCTTGCAAGATTCTACAGCCATTCTAATAAAGTAGCTTTACGGAGCATCTGTTTCTAGATCTGGTCTACCTTGTAGGGCTCACATACAAGAACCAATCGGCAATTGGAACCTAGATTGATATTATACCCCTTCAATCAAATTGTCCCCAAGAACCAGGCTTTTAGACCCTTTCTAAGACTAGCAGGGTTACAGTCAACCATATATCAGGGGGAAGGGCAGAGGTCATTCCAAAGAGCAGATGCAACAACAAAAAAGGCATGTCTCCTGGGTCCTGGCAGATGACTTTGCTTCAAGAAAGTAACCAAAAGCATGTGAAATGGGCAGATTTCATTGGAGACAAGCAGTCCCACAAATAACCCAATGTAGGGATTTATAGCAATTACCAGCACCTTGAATTGCACCCAGAAGCCTATTGGGAACCAGTGCAGCTTGCATTACAACAATTTTACATGGGTGTACTGTACCAAGGTATGCCCGTAACTACCTGCACTACTGCACTCTGGACCAATTGCAGCTTACAGAGGGTCTTTAGAGGCAGCCTCATGTATAGCATATTATAGTAATCCAGGTTGTGTTTATATTTAGAACATGTTTATTTATGGGCTGGTTGTAGACAAGTAGACCTGGTCTGAGATAACTGAAATCTGGTTGGACAAGGACAGGGCCATGGTCTTGTCCAAGATTTGCCTTCAGCAACTGCAGTTCCAAATCAGGAAGGAGATATAGTAATGATCTTCCAAGATAGTTTGGTTGTGAATAGGGGTCTTACTGCACAAGTTGTAACTGGATGTGAGTGTTTGTATTTGAAGCTGGGCTGTACAGACTAACTGGGGCTCCTTCTTCCATATGTCTTCCCTGCTGCCTGAGAAGATCCCTTCTCGAGTTCCTGAACCTCATCACTGGGCTTGTATTGGAAAATCACCAACTTCTGATAGTGGTAGATTTCAGTGTCTGTTTCCAGATGTAGGACAGTCTGGGAAAGCTCAGGAGTTCATGGCCTCCATACCAACTATTGGTATGTGCCAGGTAATCCTGGGCCTAAATCATACATTAGATTTTGTTTCCACCTCAAAGCAGTTGGTTTCTTATTTGAAAAAAGACAACATAGTTTCTATGCCATGGTCAGATCACTTTCTGTATAGATGAAGCTTGTCATCTCCTGTGACTTCCCAAGATAAGAGGATTGATTAAGGTGGTATGTCCAGGTACCTTATGCCAGTTTTGGATTTTCCCAGCAATCTGGCAGGTAGTTCCACCAAGTGCTGAAATCTGGAATACAGAGGCAACCAGAGCCATGTATGTGATTGCCCTAAGCAGAGTCTTACTGTTTGCCACTCCTGTAGAGCTCCTTGTTTTACTGAAAAGGTCCAGGAAATGAAACAGCAGGATAAATACCTAGCATGCCAGTGGAAGAAGATCCCAAATAAATCTGACTGAACACCTGTGAGAGCTCACATTCAAATCTACACAATGGCAATAAGAGTAGCAAAGCTTCAGTACCCTCCACTCTTACTGCATTGATGGGATGTACCCCAGTGGTCTACATTTAAAGTTGCTTTTTTCCAGTTGGGGAGAAGTAGACAAAATGATCCATCCCCAGGCTGTTGCTCAACCTCCCTCTTGTGTCCACCTTTCCTTTTTTGTGAAAAGTAGTTGACAAGGAACTGGCATGCCAACTGCAAAGTATCCTAGATGAAGCAAATTATTTGAACCCCTTTCAATGTGGTTCAGACCTGGGCACAAGATGGAAATTGCATTGATCCCTCTTGTAGGTCCCTTTGTCAGGATCTAGATAGGAATGCAGACCTCTCTTGGTCCTTTTCAATCTCTCTGTGGTATACAATATCCTCAATCATGGTATACTTCTGGACCACCTACAAGGTTTGAAGGCAACATTTTGCCATGCGTCCACACCTTCCTAAGTGGGCCATTCCAACAGGGGGAAACAGAGGTCAAACCAGTGGATGCTCTGTTATGGTATCCCCCTGCTTTTCATTATTTATCTGAAACTGCTGGGAGAGATCATCCATTGGTCAGGGTGAGGTATCTTAAATATATTGAAGATACTCAATTATACAGCTCCAGACCAAGCTGGAGATATGGTGAAGACCCTGACCTGGTCCCTGCAGGCTGTGGGAATCTGGATGTGATAAAATAAATTGAAACTGAACTCTGGGAACGCTAAGTTACTATTTTTTCAAAAATCCTCTGGCTCTCTACCAGTTCTACTTTAATTTTAGAAAGGCTGCATTATCCCAAAGGTGCAGATCCATGACTTAAGGTTTGCCTGCACTTAGTTACTGCTAAATTGGCAGGTAGAATCCATGGCCAGGAGAGTTTTTGTCAGTTGTGGCCCTATCTGAGAGTCCTTGCCAATGGTAGCTCTTGCCCTGACCATCTCTAAGCTAAGTTACTCCAATGTGCTTTACATGAGACTGCCTTTAAGGACTACTTGAAAACCATAATTGATGAAAGATGTGGTAGTCCACTTCTCAATGGGTAAGAACCATTATAACTATGCTACACCAGGTCTGTAGGCCTTCACTGGCTTCTGATAGGATTTTTGGTACAATTCAGATGCTGATTTTAACCTATAAAGCTTTCATGACTTGGTTCCCAGGTCTCTCCAGGACTGCCTCTTTGAAGAAAAACCAGCCTGTCCTATAAGTTCATCCCATGAGCTGATACTTAAAGTTCCTCCTATTTGAGAAATACAAGGAATGGAAACTGCTTCTCTACTGCAGTCCCTTCACTTTCAAATATTCTCCTCCCAGAAGTTTAGTTGTCATGTTCCTTGATGGAGAGCTATCAAGAGTGCTGTTTCGTAGAGTCTTTGACCTGGAATAGTCACCAGTGGGATTCAACACCAGTGGGTATTTTATTTGATGTACTGTTGCATTTGTTTTGATGGTTGTGTCTTTATGGTTTTTACTCTGAACTACCAGTCTTTTGGAGTGTAGCAGTATAAAAGCATTGTAATAAAATAAATATACGAATGCAATTTTAAAAAATATTATCTGATTTTACATTTGCAGCTTCTGTTCTAGCTTTACGTATTGAGAATGAAAGCAGTCCAACCTTGAAAGTTCTTCCAGCTTAGATTTAGCAAACTCAAGGCTTTTCCTTTCCACGTGTTCATGCGGTGTATGAGCTAGAAGTTCATGAAGGGTGATAATATATCTAGGAATCTAAAGACAATTGAAAATAATGATCAGTAATGCTGTTTAAATGTATAATTGATTATAACATGGCATGTTTTCCATCTTGGATTTTCTTACAGCATCATCAATACAATCTAACACAATAGTATTTCCTACTTCAGAAATTAGTGATAGAATTATAGAGAAGGAAGGTGTCAATGAGGCCACTGAGTTCAACCCTCTGCTTAGCACAAGAATCTATCTTCAGAGTCCAAAAACATTCTTAAAAATAACAATACCAATTCAGTGAAAGTAATATGAACATAGCAGCGTGCATCTGTTTCTGATGATGGCTAAATCTTGAATTGAACCAGCTTTTTTTTTTCCAAAGCCATCTAAAGTGAAACAGACTAATCCTTAATCTTTGACCTTGCTTCAGATATTTGTGGAGTATCAGGGCAGCTATTAAAGCCCTAATAAGCTGCTTTAGAGGAGTCACTGCTTACACTGCCTATTCTGAGGGCAGCTGTCACAGAGAAAAATAAAGGTTGCTTCACTTAAATAGCTGGTAGGGGGGAAGGCTATCCCCCACCAATGAAATTGTAGTGACAGGTTTCCTTGACAGGGATGAACTCCCTCCATCCCAGCTGTCTTCACAGAAATGAACCTTTATTTTTCTCCTATTAAGTGATTATTTGACAGCTGTCACGGTTAGTCTTAAAGCATGCACTAGGACTTGGGCAGCAGATTTTTCATCAGCTAATAACAGTAGCTACCATATAACTATTTGAAGTAGAATAATCTGTATCTGTAGAAAACTACAGCAAGTTCCAAAAGCATCCTGCAATGTGCACAGTATATTAGCAGAAGTATTTTGAAAGTTTTCCTTCCAAGCAGGATGCTATCCAGGAGCAGTCTGCATATTTCTCTTAACAATCCTCTTTAACCAGAATACCATGGCAGCCACAACACTGTTAGCTGGTGCACTCTTCATCCTCCAAGACGATTGGGGGTTTTGTGCATAGCTGGATGTGCTTGAGTACCATCCCTGCACTTTCTAGTGCCCATCTGGGCATCCTCCCACATATTTTAATTTTCATAGAAGAAAAACTGGCTGTAATGTAAAAATACATCACTGTAAAATTATGCCTGAAAAATAATGAACAAGGAAGTACTAATACCTATGTAATATCTGACCAGTACAAAAGATTGTAATGCAATATATATCTCTTCATTGAATAAAATAAACAGATTTGGCTATAGCAATTTTCTTCAGTCTAGTGATTTCGGGTTAGCCTACTCTTTCTAACAGCATCATTTGGGGAAGATTATATGACAGCAACAGTCATTAGGATGATAATAAAAATGATGCAAGCAATAAAATTACCTGAAACATAGGGTATGTAAGGAATGTCTCAAGCATTCTGCCCTCACATGCAGTGTTGGCTTCATATTGCTTTAAGAGTTTGTCAAAATCTCTGTTCTGCTTGCAGTTTGCAAGCACCTGTAGACTATACTGGTGATTTCGAACAAATTCTTGATATATATTCAGCATGGGTAGAAGAATGTCAAATAAATCAGCTAGAAAGACAAAAAGATAGTTCATTTTTGCAGCCATTCCTCTTCCTTCACAGAAATACAATGTTTAAACCAAATTAATTCCACTTGTGGCTTTGTATAATTAGAGGTCTTTAAAAGGAATGCATGCTGTTTCCTCTAATACTGTTACAATTTGACTACTCAGTAGTTCTTCCAAAAGCAGTAAGCGATTGACATAGTTTTATCTATATTAAGTAATCTAACATAAAGGCTCTTTGTAAGTGTTTCTCACATTGGGACAGAGCCTCTCATATTGGGACAGAAAATCATATTTATCTTATTTCTGTCCATAATGTAGTTATTTAAAACACAAATTTCTAACAGAAGAAAAAAAGCTTTATGTATTATCTGTATAATGAAATGCAAAAGCTTCCTAACTTTGTCACTCCTTTTGAACAAAGAATACATACGTTGATCCCATAAGTTTCTAAAATAATCGAAAAGGGCAAATAAAAAATAGAACAACTTATTGAAAAGTAACTAAAAAAAGCTTAACTTTCAAACAAAATCGTAATACTATTCTTTAAACACAGAAACCAACAGATAAGGTTGTTACCTAAAATTAAGGTAGGCCAGTTTGCTATTCTTGCTTTTAATCCTTGATGAAATATTTCATGAAGAAACATTATAGTTTCACTGGAGAGAAATAAGAGTTGACAAAATAAAACAAAAATTTAAAAATCTGTGTGTAAAATATATTATCTGAGATTATCAGCACATATTATTTATAAACTATCAGTATAGACTATCTGAATAAGCATCACTAGTTCAAAACCTTTGGGATGCAATGAGCTAGAACTTTTTTTAAAAAAATATAAAGCTACAGAGCAGCATTATGTCATAGCTTTGAAATAATAAATGACACTTTTTATTTAAATTTATTTATTTATTTATTTATTTATTTATTTATTTATTTAAAGAATGTATACAGCTGCCCAGCTTGGACAATGGAACTCTGGGTGGCTTACAAAAGGGAAAAAACCTAGATAAGAAACATCAAAAATAAACAACAATCAACAACAGGAAACCTATTCAGTGTCTTGAGCACTAAATGAGGATGATTAGCAAGGTTTAAGTTGGTATACTGGTAATTGCCAGCATCTGCAGCTCTTTCAGTTAGTGGCAGGCAGAATATCCCAAAATTGGTCATTCTGTGAATGGGGAGTGACAATTTTGGACCCACTGGATTCTAAGCCAATCTAATTGCTTGAATGCTTCCAATCCAGGCATGTCAGATACACAAATCATCCCCAATTTGAATTATCTAAAGGGATGAGGGTTGAACTAAAATGCCTACATTTGCTAGGCTGAAAAGTCCAGCAAAAGTACTTTTTCCTGCACCTTCTATCCTAGCTGGTATGAGTGGCAAGGATATCAAAGAGCCCACAGATACACCATTCTGCTTCAATTTAGCCCATTTGGGATTATCTGTTCACTAGTTTTAGAATATCAAGACCATATGTTATTTGATTTAGTTCTGAGAATATCAACATAAATTAGTTTTCCATGTTGTTCCAAGAAAACTGTTACAATTAAGGGTGAAAAACTGGATTTCATCTAGTTTTCCTCTGCCACTCAAAAGAGAAAGGAAATGAGAGCTTTAAATTTCAAAGTCCCAAAAATTAAATGCAATAATATGTAGCATAATATGTAACATACATATGTAATATGTAACATAGATTTTTAATGCTATAAATGAAATATTCCCCTGAAAATAAAGTCAGGCAGAAGGATAGAAAACAATTTCATGCAATCATATTGGAATGAGTTTTTTTAAATGTATCCAATCATACCTGTTGAGGAAGATGCTGCTAACATCATCATGACTAATAGGTGGTTTCTTTGAACTTGCAGCCATTCTTAAAGGCCTTAGAAAACAATTCACAAGGATATAAAGTTGATGGACATATTCAGATTCTGCCTCAACCATGTTGAAAACAATCTGGTTTCTTTTTCGCATACTTTCTGCATGTGGAGAACAAATATAATCTTGGACAATTGTCTTCCATTTTCTTCTACACAACCAACCACGCATAAAACTCTGTACCTAAAGAGTAAATTTAAAAAACACATTCTTAATGGTCTTTGAAATGCATATATATCCCATTCAAGTAGAAGTATTTGTAATCAGTGTCTCAAGAAAGGAAGGCAAACATGCCTGCAGTTAATAAAGGGAAAGAGGCAATTATCCTTCTACTTCTTATCCTAGAGCAGGCTTAGAAAGTCCAGAATAGTTTAGCTGCTCTTAGAAGATCTGGTACTGTAAATGGGCTCAGAAGAGAGAAATTATGCAGAGGCATTAGAATGCCTATTTCGATTTAAGTACTGTACAGCAAAAGTGAACTTATGAGAGACACAACTGAATAGCAGAACTAAGGATTGAGAGCCTGCTTGAACCAATTTGACATCTGATAAAGACTGTAATTTTTAAATTTACTGATGCTGCTGAATATAGCTGTATCGCTTTCAGTAACACTGATGTGGTTCTGAAGTGGCTACCAATCATTGCAACCCAATTTTCACTTGCCTGCTTTGTTATACATACGCTTTAACTGTAAGCTAACTTCATTTTTACATGTGTTCTCATATCTTTAATTATATCCTTGCTATCACAATACTAGTTTGCTGCTGTGACAATTCAAAATAGATTCAGTACAACATAAATTAGTATTCTACTATCAGAATGGATTGAATCACTGTATTCTTCCTGTACAAAGGAGTTAATAGTGAATTGTATGTGTATTTAAAGCAAAACACACATTCTACCACAAATGGAGGGTGAGGGAAGAGAGACACTTTCTTCTCTACATGCAAACATATTTTTGTTAAAAAAAAAAAAGTACATCTAAAGTTGTCCTAATTCAACATTTTTTCACATACTGCATATTGCCTGTAGTTTTTTCAAGAATACTGACAATAACCTTTCACAGCCCAATCAGAGCTGCTTGCACCGAACATAAGACATTTTGCATGTAAAATATATGTTCTACAATTAGCTATGGCCCAGTTACAGAGTTTGATTTGATAGTTTCATAACTTAGCACACCATGATATATAGTATTACATTCCAATCTTAAACTCCATGGCATTGGGGGACAGCTTGCTTGCTGAAAAGCTTCTCATTTATCCTGCTGTGTACATCAGTTATGGGTTGATGAAAAAATAGTTCTGTGTGGGAGCACAGAACTAATCTGCAACTCATTAAAGCAACCATGTCTGTTTCCTGGGTAAAGATGCAGGTTACTTTAATGAGGTTACATTCCCATGCATTTCAAAACACCTCTTCAACAGCTAATCCAAAGCTCTGCATAGGCTTACTACTGAATATTCCATTTTTACCAACATCTCATTTTCAAAATCATCTGGAAGGGAAGTCAACTTTATTTAAATGAAAATTAACTGAAGAGGAGCCAGTCTAGCATAATAGTTAAGGTGATGGATTTGAACTAGAGAGACCCGGATTCAAGGTCCTAGTGCTTAGTCAGTGACTCTGGACTTAGGAATAAAATGAGGAGTGAGGTGATTCATGCATGTTATTTTGAGCTCCCAGAGAAGACAGGTTATAAATGCAGTAAATAATAATTGTAAACACCCAACGCCAATAGAACAATATTCATAATTAAGCATTTTTAAACAGTCAAACAAATTGGCAGTATATTTTCTATCCAATGCATGTGACAGAAGTGCCACAGATATTTAAATAAAAATCAATAAATAACTAATGCTATTGGAAGAATCTGACTTGCAATTCTGGGACCTAATGTAGAAGTAAAAAAGAAAAAAAATCCTGCTAATAATAGGACCTGTTGTTTCAAGTGTCACTATCATCTATAATATATGGTTATAGACCACTTCAATAATGTACTGTAGGCTATATGAACTTTTAAATTTCTCTTCCTTTTTTTCTCTTTTCCCTCTTCCAGCATTGCAATTTCCCTCTTCCAGCATTGCTCTTCCAGAAGAGCAATTATTAAGGACATCTCCTTAAAAGACATTCACCTCAAACTGTGTGTGTTTTTTTTAGTGACACTTTATGTTCCAAAGCTTAAAAATGCAATAGTTAGAACATTTTTCTTTATAATTGTTTTCACAGAGTGCTTTGATATATAGTTTTAAGCTATGTGGACCTTATTAGCATCACTGTTTCTTTCACCAAACAGTACATCATGATAATTAGCTGTTCTGGAATACTTACTAAATGTTATGCTGCTCAGTTCAAATCAATATATACTTTCCTTAATTGAAATGAAAAAATAGGAAATGTTGTTATCACTTCTCCATCTAAATGGCATAAGTGAAAAAGTACCTTTTTAATCTTTTTAATATCCGGATTTTCTTCTTCTTGATTGCCTTGATATGGTCGCATTCGTTCTTTTGTTTTATTGAGAGCTACAATCTGGTAAAAACAACAAACAAAAATGTAAAATCTTAGCGTTTTCAACAGATTTCAGAATATCACATGAAATTTTGAAGCTGTAATGTAAAGCCCCTTTAGCCTTCCATAATAAAACTTCCAATATCTGAAAAAGGACTGTATAAAATAACACTCAGCTAGGCAAAGGGAAATCTTTTCTACTCCATCAGCTGCAAAGATATGATGCTCCGTAGAGAGTCTTTCACTTACATCACTCCCATGGGAATTATTCCAGGTTAAGGCCATGTAACATGCATTATACAAACCATATATGGTCCAACAACTGGATCTGAAGGTCCTGGATTTTTTCAGTACTTGACCCTAAAAAAGTAGGACTGTTACTAAAGCAGATCACCACAGATAGCTGTTGGTTTGCATTTAGGTTGCTCAGGTTAGCATATAGGTAGACCTGGGGTTAAAAACACCTGGGTTACAGATGATCCATAGTTAAGAATGGAGGATATTCTAGCAAAATTTGAGTTAAATACACAATGATTCAAGTTAAATACCCAATGGTTCAAGTTCATTACACAATACTACTTATACATTATTATACCATAATACTGTTCCAGTTTACATACAAATTCAACTTAAGGACAGATCTTGGGAACAGAACTTGTTCTCAAACTAGAGACTACCTG